GAGAATAAAAGAGACAACTGAAAGTTGTAATTGAAGTGTTGTTCTATTTCTAAATGTTCCTTTCAATATCCAGCTTTATTCTTCTGTGTCTTCTGTTCTCATCATTTCCTTTGCTCTTGTGATTTTTTTCTTCTGCCCTGAGAAAACATACAAGAGTGATACCTAAAATTTGTCTTGACTTACTTCAGATAATGTATATTTTAAATCACAGTGCTGGACTAGATTTCTGTGACCCCCACCATAGTAACTCTAGCAAATATTGTCACTGCCCTCCCTTATCTAAGGTGTTTTTCTTTTCTCCCATTTTTCCCAAGTGTACTATAACCAATTTAATACTCTAAAAGCATGGTATTTACAATGTAGCTTCTGACTCTACTCCTTTTTCCATCCAGGCACTAACAAAATCCCATGACATGTTCTTCTTTGGCATTTCCTACCAAATGTAATCTCATGTACCATTTTAACCCATTTGAATATAAATGCCATCATTAAGTGAAAATAAAACCTTTTTTCATTTATTTAAGTCTTAATTTTGCAAATAATATTTATAGAGCCTTCATACTTTACCCTTATGCCCCTTGGTAAAACAAGTATAAATTCAGATGTGAACATCAGAGCCTAAAAAATTTAAATAATCTGCATATGGTTATACTACTCACAACTCATATAGAGTGGAATTCAGCTTTGCTTCTTCTCATTCCAAAACTTATATTCTGTCTTTCATTCATGCTGCGTCTTGTGGCTTAGATTTTTTGATATCTCCTGTTCAATGACAATAGCCTATATATTTATAAAAGAAAATAAGAACTTTTGCAGAAATGAAAGACAATGAATATGACTCCATTTAGTTTACGGTCAAGGCAAATATATACTTCATAGGGAATATTTTGTTTTTTACTTGAATGTGTTACAAAATATACATCTACCCAGATAAGTAGTCTTTGCCCATGCATAAAAATACCATTCTATCTAAAAGTGTTGTTCAATGTGAAATAGGAAGAAAAGGTCCAAAGGTGAAGGGGAAGTGGGAGGGGTAGGGGAAAGGAAAGAAGGAAAAGGAATAAATATGAGAAAAGGAAAAAAATGGAAACAAAGCCTTTATAAATAAGGAGGGATGGAGGGGTTGAAGGGAGGGAGGGCAAGGGAATGGGGAAAAAATAAGCAAGATACATTATGTAAAGGTACAAATTCCCAATTATGAATGTCAGCATATTGTATACCTAACATGTACCAATAAATTTAATGAGTGAAAAAAAGTGTTACTAATTCTCTGGAATCAGTATTTGCTTTCAGATAACATAAAAGGTGCTAGGCACTGTTATGTACATTTAGAAAGAATGACAAAAATACCATATTATGAAAATGCAAATAATGCATTATTTTTTGGGTGGTATCATGTTAGGTTCTTCTAAATACTACTTGGTTTATTAATTTTATGATTCATTTAGTGCCCCAATTTCTGTTAGTAACTTGATTAACTCATGCTTCTTATTTTAAATCATTGATCAGGGTACATAAATTTAATTCAAGACACCAATATTTGAATGTTTAAGAGTAATGTAGAATATAGCTATATTGAAGACTGTATTTTTTGGAATATACTTTCCTTTCTTCTTAGAAAAGAACTTGCAGTGATTCATATGGTTTGATGTTATGTGTCATTAAATGTTACAAAATACATTATTTGAACCCAGTCAATTTAGTTTACTTTTCTTTGTATTGACTTCAATACTCTACCACTTCTATTGCAAAGGATCCTCTAATGATATTCTGTTATTCCTTTCTTACTATTGAGAAACCAGACTTGTTGTTCTGCGATGTGTGGTCTTTTACCAAGTCTGCCTTTACCATAACAACCCATAATCTGGAATGCATTTTGCCAAGAACTGTTTAGTGAAGTCCTACCCAGTTTCAAATTCTAGCACAATTCTACCTCTCTCCTTGCAATTCTTCTGGATTTTCAAAACTGTGTTATTGCCTCTGTTTTAGAAACACATTCTTTTTCTTTTTAAAATCTTTGATTTGGATTTATATTTTATCTCTTGCATATTCTAGTTTATCTCTTGCTCTTTTCCCCCTCCCTGTAGGTATTATTCTTTCTCCTCCTCCTTTTTGTTTCCTCTGCTTTCAGTGTAAGATTTATGCCTTGTATATTTTACATGCCCCCTTGACCAAAAGCAGGGCACACTTGGAAGAAATTGCTAAAGAAACATGTATGTGCAATGTGTTGAGTTAAACAATTTTTGAAAATATTAAACAAGATGATTGAGAATTTCTCTCTTAAGAATCTCCAAAAGGAAATTGAACATTTAAGAATATTATTTAAGAATATTCATTAGTAGAACATTAAAACCTTATTACTGCTAACTAATCTTAATGATTAAAAGTTTTACTAATAGTTAATGCAAGATTCTTTAAAATATTGAAACAAACAAAATATCCTTGAACCTTACTGTGATTGTTTTGGTTTTCAGAGTCAATTTTTTTCTTTTTTTTTTTTCTGACACTGGAGATCGAACTCGGGTCCTTGCTCTTGCGCAGCAGACGGTGAAACCACTGAGCTAAATCCCTGGGCCCTGAGTCAAATTTTTAAGAGAAACTGTTTAATTTTAAAAGCTAGTATGAGCGATAGTGGTGCCCAAACTGACAGTGCTTTACAATCTCATTGCATAGCCGCACACAGCCCCTAAAGTGAGGAATAATAAGTGTCATTCCTTTAATAAATCTTTTATTATCTTTTTATTATACATTAAGTTATAGAACATTTATCACATAGTAGCATTTCAGAGCAAGGCATGTTTTTATGTATTTTATGTAATTAAAACTTACAACTTTTAATTTATTGAATGTTCATATAACCATATAAATTAAGTAATGCTAATCTCATTATCCATACAGGAAAATGAAGGCACTAAGGGATTAAGTGACTGACCCAAGGTCAATAGAAGTAGAATCAATAGTTGACATTAAGCAGTTTGGTTCCAAAATCTATTGCTCTTAACCCCTGTGCTATAAGTTAGCAATATTAAAAAACATGATATATTTGTGTAATTTTGGTTTATGATAGAGGCATGTATTTCAGACAGATTGTGGTTTTTATTTTGACAAAATGTATCTTATTGTAGGTTGAATATGTCTTTTCCAAAATACTTGAAATCAGAAGTGTTTTGGATTTCAAGGTTTTCTTTTCTTTTCCTTTTTCTTTTTTTGGTACCAGGGATCAAACTCTGGACCTTGCAATTGTGAGGCAGGCATGGCACCACTGAACTAAATCCCCCGCCCAAGGATTTCTTTTAATTTGGAATATTTACATATACTTAATGAGATGTCTTGGGGATGGGACTCAAGTCTAGACACAGACTTGATTTATGTTTTCTATATGCCATACACAAAGTCTGAAGGTAGGTTTTATACAATATCTTGAGTGTGCCTGTGTTGTGACTATGACCCATCAAATTATGTAACATGCAAAATTCTTCACTTTTTTTGGTCAAATCAACACTAAAAATTTAAATTTAAATTTTCTTGATGGAGATGTTTAATCTATGGTACATTCTTCAGTGAACCAGATTTATTTTAACTATCACTTTCAAAAAATCAAGTTTTGTACTCAGGATCTGAAATTATTGATAATACGGTATCAGTCACTAGAACATAAAAAAATTTATAAAGATAACCTAATTTTACCTGGGCACCTGCTTTAAAAGTGGAGATGAGAAAGACAGTGTCTTCTAATTTGGATTAGTATTTTGGCTTCTTAATATGTGTCTGTGCAAACTTTAAGAACAGGCAAATATATTATATGAGTTTGGTTCAGTAAAATGACTCTCTTCCTGCTTAAGGTTTTTAATGTTTCACACATACTTAACACTGTTGCTCACATTGTTAAAACATTTACCATCTTATACAAGATTTTTCACTTCAAATTTCAACATCCTGGTGTTTAAGATGCATGGTTTATTCGGTAATTATCCCATATTACTAATACAGTGCTTTGTAAATCAATGAGGAATCAATAAACTTCTATTGAGTGAGATTATCCTGTTTGAGCTGCATTTCAATTCAGTCTATATCTATATACTTGTTAAAAAATACATTGTTTAATCTAATATAAAGAAAACACTTTTGTTTGTAATTGTATGTATTATTTAGGCAATAACATGCCTAGAATTTCAGTATTGAGGTTTTAGACCAGTGGTGGGGAAACTATGGGATGCAGGCAGCAGCAAGCTGTTTGTTATCACTGAAACCTCTGAAAGATTTGCCATTACTAATTTAGACAAACAAAAAATAACATTTTGGGCTAATATAGTTCAGTAGTAGAGTGCTTGCCTGCTATGCACAATGTCCTGCGTTTAATCACCAGCCCTGTCAAAAAATTAAAACTGTAAAAAGATTTAAAAGTAGCATCCTTTGTAAACAAAAGTCTATGATGACAGAAAAGTAATACATAGAAAAGCAGTGTAATTTCTGAATGAGTATCAGATGCTGAAATGGAAGTAAAAGATGCACATAACTTTCATTATCAAACTTATTTATAGTGATGTTAATGAATGAAAATTTACTATTCTGATGTTAGTAAAAATTATGTTTCTGGAAAATACTTGTACAAAGTAAGCCTCAAGTCTCCTTATACATATTTAGATAATACATTTGTATTAATTTTTTCAGTGCCAACATAGAATTATTTTTTTTTCGTTTCATACCGGGGATTGAACTCAGGACCTTGTGCTTGCAAGCAGGTGCGGTGCCACTGAACTAAATCCCTGGCCCGACAACATATAATTCTTTCATTCTGGTTTTAGTATAAACACTATGTATACATGAATAAGTAATGTCTTTCAGATTACTTGTCTTACATATAATTTTGTGCTCATGAAGATGAAGAAGGCAAGAGAAAAACACGTTTTAGTCAGGAAATAAAAGGATGCTTCAAAAATTAAGATGAGAATATATTCACTTAGTAACATCTCCTCCCCCATTTTTTATCTTTTTTGCAGATTACAGATTTGGGACATTGATGTTTCCGTTTTTGAGGACATTTTCTTTCTTGTTTTGAATCTTTTTATTGTTTTAATCATCTTTCTTGGAACACAGAAGAGAAACCAGAAATACACTTACTTTGTTTCACTTCTGGAACACTCATCCCTAAGAAACTCTGAAAACAACTGCACAGCCATGTGGCCATTACAGCTCCTAACCTTCATGTTGCTCTTAGCACCAGTAGTTCATGGTAAGTTCTTTCATTCAATTTGTGTTTAATGTTCTGCGTTGTCTCACTGTTCATACTAGACCCTTTCTCTGAAATCTTTGCTGTGAGGTTTCATAGTTTTTGGTTTTCATGCATTAATATGAGTAAGTATAACACCATTACGTTAAGCTGCAATAATTATTGCTTTTCAGTCAGATTTCTTAAAGTGCCTTTTCGTAAAGTTATTGAAATGTGTGTTTAACTGAAGGGTTTTCCTTGTTTTTTAAGAACCCTTCCATGAACCCTTCCATACTTTCTTCTTTGTTTATACCACTTATGGGAGTTTATCTCCATTATTAATTATTTCAATTATAGTGAATATTTGGCTGCATATTTTTGTAATTACAAACCATTTTTAATGTAGTCAGCATGAACACTTAAAAAAAAATGAAAGTTTGCTTTCCTAGACCAAGTAATTTTTATGTGTTTGTTATTCACAATTTTTAATACACAAGCTGTAATGTCTTGTTAGAGGGAAATTGTTTCTGCTATATACATTTCATTTAAAAAAATTCTCAAAAAGTTACAAACATATGCTTTTATTTTTTAGACAAAGGAAATTTTTACAGAAACATGCTAACATACTCACAATAGGTTTGTTCATTTAGACTTGTTTCACTTTCTTCACTTAGACTTCATTTTTTATAGCATAAATACAATAGTTTAGAAATTATGTACCCTTGTAACTTTTTTTTCGTACTGGGGATTGAACTCCGGACCTTGTGCTTCTGAGGCAGGCAGCCGAACCCCTGCACTAAATTCTGGCCCTCACCCTTGCAACTTTTTATAAAATACATAATCGCTGGGGATTTAGCTCAGGGGTTTGGCCACCTGCCTTGGAAGCGCAAGGTCCCTAGTTCAATCCCTGGTACCAAAAAAAATAAATAAAAATAAAATAAAATAAAGTACATAATCATTCAGTATGGAAGCATGACTTGTGTTTTGTACAACTTAATATAATATTCACTTAATTTCTATGAAAACTGGTAAATTTAAGGCTGTATGTGTCTTTATTTACAATTTAAAGTTTTCTGGTAATTATCATTGGCTTTGCAGGATGATGAAATGTTATGATAGAGGATGTTGATGGGGTTCATAGCAAAGGCAGAGACACACCTGCCTTTGCCACTGCTCATGAGGTTTCAGACTATTGTAATGCAGCAAGCAGCTGAAATAAATTCTTAGCCTCTTTAGTGCACTTGGGTTTTTAATTGACTAGAGAAAGCCGTTGTAGTTCCCCAGTGATGCAATTCCGAATTTGCCTATGTTCCTAAGTTTCAACATGAATTTCATTCTGCTGTCATTATAAAAACTGAAAAAAATAATTTCTCTGTCTTTTGGATTTCCCCTCTAAAGTTTCCCTAATTTAATATATTTAGCTCTAATAAGTCACTATAAGGTAAATATATTTTTAACCATTCAAATAAAATTCCATTTATTTATTCATCTTTTATGAATGATAAATTTTTCAAAAATTTCACAATGTTTTCTTAATTCATATGACTGATGCACACTTGCAGATTCCCACACATGGGCACAAATATCTATGTGTGATATGAGACAATAAAAAAATCACTTTAAACAAATGCTTTTCTACCTATCCCGATATTGTATGATGATTCAAGTTAGATTTTTTTATTAAAAAAGCAAAACAAGACATCCCTCATAATAATATTTTGAGGGTTAAAGAAATAATATACTTGAAAAGAATCTAGCTCTATGTATGACAAATGTTGTTTTAAAACATGTTAATTTCCTTTATCATTCTATGTGTCCATCCAGTTAATTTTTATCTTAATAAATTATAGAACAAGTAGTAGTAGGCCATGAGTATTGTTTCACTTGGTGTTGATACTGAGAAAAAAAATTATACATAAAATGTTCATGTTCAAATGGTCAATTAAAAATTACCCCTTTTAAAGGAAAGTCAGTTAAAATGAGCAGAAATAGACACTGTAAGAAAGAGTACCTAGTGGAGCTGAAATTTCTGGCCATCCAAGTCTGACAGCTCATTTGCCTTCAGGGGGCCCCAAACTTGTCTCATCCATAGACCATGGCTCTTGTTTTGGGAGCTTGGTCTGCGCTGAACCCATAAACACAGACAGAACATCTCCAGGTAACTCTGCGAAGTACTTAAAAACTTTAAAAACTCTAATATTATAATTGGACATATAGAAGATTAACATAGTATATAAAATGTTTTGATCTAAAAGCTTACAGTAATCCTTTCTGTTTTATTTGGACTGCTAAACATTATCTTGAGTTTTAAACCACCACAAAGTAAATAATACAGAAGTTTTCTATTCATAAACTTTGTTGCTATTACGTTCTATGATAATTTTAAACTTTACACCAGAAGAAAGGAAAGTTGGTTTTCTATTTTCTCTAGAGAGCTTTCTCTACACTTTGTGATACCGCTTTCAACTTTTGAATAAGTAACTTTATGCACAACCATTAAGAACTCAGCTTTTAATGAGTAGAGAAATACACCTTTGATCAAGTGTTGAAATACAACAGGATAGGAAGTTTTAGAGTCCTATCAATTGTGACTCAAAGAATTACTACATTACCTGAGCTCTGGAACAAAATTTCTATATCAGTTAATATGTGGCACAGCTATAGAACTTTTGCTTTTGGGTCATCCTCTAATGGCATCTCCTTTTGTACTCTCAAGATGTTGAGTTTTATTTGCCTTATGATCACTGAGATTTAACTTTTGTGAGAAATGAATTAAATATCTATGCTTTACTCTGAACAAATAACGATGATAACTACTGATTTTATGGCGAGAGTACTCAGATATATTGTTTCACTTAATCCTCACAAAAATTGCATATTATTATTATTTGTTGTTATTATTATCATTATCTTTTTACAGTTAAAAATATTGAGGTTCTCAGTGGGTAGTAATTTGACTTAGGTCACACAGCTACTAAGTGACACAGTGGGAATTTAAAATCAAGGACCTGGCTTCCTGAGCTCTGGTCTTAGTACTTTAGAGGTCCAAATCTGATTTTTCTCTACATAAAATCTCCTCTTACCTCTCCTGTTACTATGGTGCAGGTGAGACAGAAACACTGCTCGCCTCCCTCTTCTGTGTTCTTCAGACAGACTGAGAGGGTTTTGAAGTCTGACAGACGGGAAATAAAATCCCAGCTGTGCCACCTACTAGTTCTGAAACCCTATTTCTTATCAGCAGAACATTGAGCCAGAAAACTGCCCCTAGTGCCAAGGACATGAAAGGACCTGTATTTCTTTCCTCAAACTGCATACAGTACCTCAAAAATTTGTGTGACTAGTTTACATCTGTAAAATGAAATTTCTTGTATTCATTTTAAGCAGTGAATAGGATATGCATATAACTTTTATTATACTTTGCATTTGATAAATCACCCCCCCTTTTATTTACCTTCTATTAGAGATGAACCTTTGGGCACTAGGTAAGAAAAATGTATAATCCTTTTTCTCAACGTAAGACTAAACAAATTTTACTTGAACTTCGGTATTCAAATTTTGCCAGAAATTGGTAAATGCTAGTATGCAAATAAAGCTGTTATCAATATAATTCATATCTAAACAAAAACATTACCAATATGGAGGGATGCTTAAATCACTTTTGTATAGTAGTACATATTTGTCAAGTGGTTGATATTTACATAATCTCTACATGGATCAAATTGAAAACTAACCTAAAGAATTAATTCCTGTAGTGTTCATGTTAGTTGAATAATCTCCACATTGCCCTAGAAAATATGGCTGATGTACTGAATAGGAAAACAAAAATAATCATATTTATATTATATACATATTTATACAATTTATATTATATACATAATTGTATACATATACAACTTTTTACATTAGGAAATGTCTTTGGTTCTATGTTTATCTGTTCATATTCTATGTCTCTGTGTACTTCTGTATTTTGTTTTCCATAATTGTGTCCCTTTTCAGCAGAGCCATAAAACCTATACTTATAATGCAATGAGAGCTGGCAAAAGTGAAGAGAAAGAGCTAAAGCAATGGCCAGTTCTTTGCTGTACTAATGCACTATTCTTTGAAATGAAAGCATTCTTTTTACCATCGTGATGTGGTTGGGAGCTAGGGAAAAGAATAGTGAAGAACAGTAACCAGCTGCAAATGTGAGTTCCTGGGGCTCATTCTCATGGTTTATCAAGGTTCTTTGTGGGATCTTGGGCTGGGAGATCTGTCCCTGGAGTGACTTTACCTAAAATCCCGATGTTTGGGAGTTTGAAAGGTGACTGTGATCCTCAGATATTTTAGCTATATCTCAGCTTAGATACACTTCACTTAAAAACCAAGTCACACCTTTGAAGGTGGAAAACACGATCATTGACACTCACTGTGAATAAAAGGGAACAATATTTTTATAGCACATTCACAGCAAAAAGATGAAAACAATTCTTCTAGAAGGAACTTATGCATACTTTCTCCTTCAACTCTGTCATTGTTAAAATTGCATCGATATTTATATATACATTTATGGGCTTTACAGGCAAATCTGCTTTTGTTATCATCAAGAAGTTGCTTAAATAGTTTTAGGTACAAAACACTTATAAATGCATATAGATGTAGTGTTTATTGGGTTTTGTATAGTTTCTATTTTGGTATTAATATTTATAATTGCCCCACTATTTAATGTGTCAGTGATTTAAAAAATACATATTTTTAAATTGCTAACAAGATAAGAAGCTGGAAAGCATTTTATTGCAGAGCATTTTATCATATAATTCTCCCTATGAAGACGTGTTTTATTAGCTGTGAAAAAGCCAGGTTGACTTCTAAGCTCTGCTTAACTTTGTTATTTTTAGAAATTAGTCATCCTTGAAATGTTTATGATCTTTGCTAGCCTAGGTAACTTGTAATATCGGCAGTACAGTAACTATTTTTATACTCAGATACATCATACAGAAAAATCTATGTCAAGGTACTGATATATGAGGTCACTACTAACACATCCA